TACACCCCAGAAGAGTTATCTGCTAGTGGCAGACAGAGCTTTATCAAAACTAAAAGCTAGCCTATAGTTAGCTCCTTCTCTAACTGGATTACAATAATCAGTCCCCCAGTACGCCTGCCTAGCAGCTATTTTCTCTAGAAGAAAATAACATTACCTACAACATCTACAATTTTTCATACCACATGTTGAGGACACAATCAATATTTATTAGGCATGCTAAGGCACAGACCCAAACCCCAGAGTGGGGGAAAGCAGACCACGCACAAAGAACTCACAAGTGATTCAGACAATAAAGTTAGTAGAAAAAGTTTAGCCACGATTAATATACTCAAAAATATGATAACAAGATAGAGAAATTAGATAAAAGGCAGAGGATTTCACCAAATAATTTGAATCAATAAAAAGGATCAAATGTCAAAAAAAAGGATCAAATGAAATTTCTAGGACTAAAATAAAGAACTCAATAGATAACACTGAAAAATAGATTAGATGTAGCAAAAAGATGATTAATACGTTGGAAGGCAGGTAAAAAAATTTCAAAACTGAAGCGCAGAGAAAAATGCAAAATGGAACATAAGAGTGTAACAAATGTATAATCAAGTAAAAAGGTTTAAATCATGTAAATTTGAAGATAGAATAAGAAAGAATGGGATAGTAAAAGTAATTAAAGAAACAATAGCAAACTCAGAGATGTCAGTGCACAAATACAAAAATTACTAGGAAACCCTGTAGGACTCATGGCAAAACAACAACAACAAAAAATAATAATGCCAGACTTAGGGACATCACAGAATAAGTGATAAAAACTAAAGATAAAGAGAAAATCCTAAAAGCAGCCAGAGGAAAAAAGACACATTCTCTTTAAAGGAGAGATGATAGTGTTGGTTAATAGCTGATTTTTCAACAGAAATTATGGAAGCCTAAAGACAGTGGAACAATGTTTTAAAGTGTTGAAAAATCCTCAAATACAGAATCCCATGCTCAGAGAAAGTGTCATTCAAAAAATGATGGTAAAATTAAGACACTTTCAGACAACTAAACACAGAAGATTTATCACCGGCACTCACTTTTAAAAAAATGCTAAGTAAAGTCTAACTGGGCAAAAGAAATAATCCCAGGTGAAAGCATGGTAATGTGGGGAAAAAATAAAGAGTAATGGGAAAGATAAACATGTAGGTAAATAAGGATGAATACTGATTGTTTAAAATAACAATAAAAATATCATCTAATAGGTTTTTAAAATATGTACATTAAAATGCATGACAAGGATAACACAAATGGTGTAAGGGGGTTACATAGAATTAAAATGCAATAAAGTACTTTATTATCCAGTGTTATATAAAGCCAAAAAAAAATAAAAACATGTCCACAAAATTACTTGTCCACAAATAAATGTTTATAGAGTCACTGTTAGTAATATTCTGAAACTGGAAATAATTCAAAGTTCATGTACAAGTAAACTGATAGACAAATGCAATACTACTCAGAAAAAAAATAAAAAACACATGAATAAAATACTGACAGTAAAACCTATGAATGAATCACGCAAACAGTATATTCAGCAAAAAAACAACCAGATTTATGAGTTGATACTCTACCATTCCATGTATATGAGGTTCTGACCAGGCAGAACTAATTTATGATGCAAAAAGCCAAGACAATGGTTATTTCTGGGAGTATCAGAAACTAGGTAGGGGCAGGAGAGGACTTCTGGGAGATTAATAATATTCAACTTCTTGATCTAGTTGCAGATTGCATGGGCATATTTCAAGAAAGTTTTAAAATATATTTCAAACATACAAAGTGTTATACAAAGAATAACAAGTCTATATAAAATACCAAGACTAAGAAATGAACTGTTACCAACATAGTTGCATGCACTGCTCCCTGACGGCACCTCCACCCACCCACCCACTCCACCAGAGATCAACCACTCTCCTGATTTGGTGTTCACCATTCCTCTGCACTATTTTGCACTTTTACTCCTATATAAGTTCACTTAAACAACATACAGAACTAACTGTTTTTGTATGTTTTCACCCTGTGCACGAGAGTAATTTCATTTCTATTTTTAAAAGAGCATCCTAAAAGGGGAACTGTTGAACTGTAGAACGACTGAGTGTAAAACTCCCCTATCTGAGGAGTAGGGAAATAAAGAGAGGCTGCAGGCACAGCTTAACTGTGCAGTGGACCAGTAACTGGAGGGAGAAGGAAGGTCAAAGGAGTTCTTAAAACTAGAAGATCAACCTTTGCCTAGTTAAGAGGAAAAAATGAGGACAAAGAAGATATGAGGAGACGAGGAAGAAACAGGGTCCTCGAGAAGGTGAGGGGGTGGGATGTGAAGTGCAGGTGGTTGGTCTTTGCTGGGACCCAATGTCTTCTTGCTTTTTAACTAGAAGGAAATAAAAGGGGTACAGATGTGGGAAAGGTTGTCTGGTGGCAGAAGGATAAGGGGGTTCCCACAGAATGGCTGCTACTTTTTCAATCATCATGAGTCATTATCTGAAAAGGGTAGCCATGGGAGTGTTGAAACCTGTAAAGAAAATGGCATGTAATTGCATTGGAAAAGCATCCCAGTTAAGAAGTATCAAGGTTCCATTAACCAAATGTTAACTGCCCAACAGAAATCCAAATTCTCATAATGTAGTATGAGCTCAAAAGCAGGAAAATTATTATTCATCTTTGATTACGCTGCACAAAGCACAGTATAACCTATATTAGGTAATCAACAGGGAATAAAAAAATGAATGAAGATTAAATGTTTTCATATTTTCTTAGCACATTTTAATATCGTCGGTCACATTCTACAGTGGAACAGAGGAAAACAGTCTTTTCAAAAATAATTCACCTTAGATGTCAAATGCATTTCCCTTTTTCTCATGTTTAGTTCTCTGCGTTCTTGGAAGCAAAGCAATCTGTGTCTCCCACCATTAGTAATTCTTCATATTATGTAAAGAAATGATATGTTTATCTTCTAAAATAATTTTTAAGCAGAAATCACCAATAGCATAATTCTTATAGGATATGAAGAGACAGAATCTATATCCCTGTATTATCATAATTTGTGACATCATAAGGATGTAGTTGATGAACAAATTAGAAGCTCTTGACAAGAAGGATTAACCTTTTCTCTCTATTCAAGATGTTCCTGCTGCTGGTAAGTCGCACATGCACCCTGAGTGAAGAAAACCTTCAGCTTATGCATGGGAATCTCAGGGTAGTCCCAGCCAAACTTAAATGTGCCCAGAAGAACAGAAGCACTGGATGTCTTAGGAGACAAGTTAGCATGCTTTGTTATTTATCATTTATCAATTATGAGATGAAAAAGATTATAAATGCATTACTAGCAACATAAATTGTTACTCATTTAACCACACTGAGTGCTATTTAAAGGACTCCATTCACGCAGGGAGCACTGTTTTGGTTGGCTAAGTAACAGAATTTTTGTGCTTATAGTTCATGTTTATACTGACTATGTATATTGAGCATGCTTTCCTAGTTTCTGTCACCACAACCAGACTGTAAATGCATATGTTTTTGACATTCTTAACTACAGTAATTCAGAACTTCAGCTGTCAAGTTTGGAGCTAATATTCACATATATGCAGTTCATGTTCTCCTGTTAAAAATAATTCCTTGTTTTCTGTCAGAAGCTCCTAACATAATATATAAAATGGCAGGATCCAATTTTTTAAAAATCACCTAGCTCTTTAATTAAATACAGCTACAATGTATTTTTTCCTTGAAAATATCCCCTTTCCTAACATTCCCTTTATTCCGCGTTATCATAAACCTTGGCCAAGCAGTAAAATAGCAGAACGTGTTCAATATCAACAAACCACAAATAGCAGTGCTTACAGGGAGGGAAAGGAGGAAATTTTCAGTTTTGTGCTAGACGGTCTTTTGAGGCACTGTCATTTTAAGTGTGGAGGCATCGATTATTTCTCCTATGCTAAAAAGGGCTACACATTTAAAGGTTCTGTGGGTCCCCAAAGAAAATAAGCAATCATTTCTCTGTATCATTAAACACAGTACCAGTCCTACGCTGGTTTTAAAGGACCAGCAGAATTCTGAGTGTGAATATGAAGGTTTAATATTTCAGTTTCAAGAGAAGCAGAGTTGCTCTGTGGCCAAAAAACACTGGGACCATGCTTCAAGTTGCACAATATTTCTAGGGCCAAAGACTGGCTCCACTGCAGAATCCTGTAATCCTAGAACCTGGAGGAACCCCGGGGATCTCCTAGTCCAATCCGATACCCACGGCAGGAATTTTTTCCCCAGCATCCCTGACAGATGATCAGCGTCTGTTTCAATTACTCCGAGGGGGGGGGGGGGGGAGTTCGCAAGAGAAGCTTCCCAAGGGATATGATGAAAGGCTAGAACCAACCATTCGGACAGGGAGTAAGGCTCCAGTCAGTAAGTCCACAGGATGCAAACAGCCTTGCCAAACACTAAAACCAGACTTTCACAAGGAGAATCAGAATCAACAATCATAGGGGTGCAACGTTCAGACATGCAGACCCCCAATTCTGGGACCATCCTAGGTCTCTTCATTGGCCTGAGGAGTAGCTCCTACAATCAGGGAAGCAAGGTGACTTTTCTCCCACTGATTTCTTAAAGTAAGAATCGACTCTTTGGGGCTCACAGCAAGGGTCTGTCAAGCTCAGCAAGGACCAAATTCTTTCCGCCCGAAAACCAAGACAAGGGACCCCCTGGTGGAACTGCTAATGCTTGAAATACTCTTAACTTTGGTCGTAAAGTCCTCACTAGAGGAAACCAGAACATTTCGGGCTCTTCTTCCAAAGGTGAATATAGGCTTTGCTGTAACTGAAGTTGGTTGGTGTAAGGCTGATGTGTGGGGGGTGATGTTTTAAAGCGCAGCCCTTCATCCCGCCGTGAAGTCCGGCTTACCCTCCCAGACAAGGCGAGCGCGCGGGGCTCTGCTACCAGCAAGCACAGACCCCGAGCCGGACCCGGGGACGGGGCGGCCCGGGCCTTACCTGTCGATGCTGATCACGCACAGGGTCATGATCGAGGCGGTGCAGCACATGACGTCCATGGCGATGAATACGTTGCAGAAGAAGTGGCCAAAGATCCACTTGCCCCCGATAAGGTCTGTGACGCTGACAAAAGGCATGACCGCCACAGCCACCGAGAGGTCGGCCAGCGCCAGGGACACTATCAGGTAGTTGGAGGGCTGGCGGAGCTTCTTGACGAAGCACACCGAAATCACCACCAGGCAGTTGCCGGCGATCGTCAGCAGCGTGATGAGCGTCAGAATGGAGCCGATCACAACTTTCTCCACTCTGCCGTAGTTGATCTGTTCCCCACAGCCGGAGGCATTGTCCGGGGGCGCGTCCCAGGTGGGCACAGGGCTGGCGGTGACCTCAGGGCCCCCGCGCAGCAGGTGCGGCGCCCAGGAGCCCGCGACCGGCCCGGCGCCGTCGGGGCTTAGGTCCGGCAGCCCTACCTCTGGCAGGAGGACGGAGCGCAGGTGTCCGTAGAGGTCCGGGCGGCCGCTGCTGTTAACGTCCATCATCGTGCCGCTGTGCGCTGCTGCCCATGGAGCCGGCGCCCCCGCCACACACTCCGGCTGCGGGCCCAGGGGCTTCACCTCGCCGGTTCCGCTCCGCCCGGCCCAGCCATGAGGCCCGCGCCGGCCGCTGGGGGGCGCCCGGCTCGGCCTCGCGGCCCCGCACGTCCCGGGCCCCCAGTCGCTGCGGACGACGCGGGAGCGCGGCCGCGTGGGGACTCCCTGCGGGAGGCGCCTCGGGCACCCGACGGATGCCCGGGACGCGCGGGTCCTGCAGCGAGCTGATCGGGTTCGGCTGGCGGCGCCGCTGCCCGGAGCAGCCGCTGCGCGAGTCCGCGGAGAGCGCCGGTGAGGCCGGAGCAGAAGTTGCGGAGGGCGCCCCGCCCCTCGCGCCCGCCGCTGCCGCTCCCCTGCGGCAGCCGCGCCGCTCCCCACCGCCACTGCCACAGTCGCCGCCGCCTCGGCGCTGCCCTTGCTCCCCGGCCCGCGGAACGGGCTTCCCCCGCTGGGCAGGGGGCGCCACCTCCCCCGCGCGTCCGCACAGGGCGGGGGCGGCGCTCCTCGCGCCTCCCGGGATCCCGAGCCCGACCGCTGGTGGAGCTGTCTTTGCGGCTGAAGGGTCTCACGCCCCCTCCGGCGGACCCGCACCTCCTGTCACTAGTGAACGACCCTTCGGTCGGGGGCGGGGGGGGGGGGGACGACCAGGGAGCCAGTGGGCCTTCGGACTCACTGCCAAATGAGGAACCTGGGGAGGAAATTCCCCCCCTTAATTAAAATAGCCTTTTCGAGCACTATACAAGCAACAGCTTCCGTTTCCTATTTTGACCACTTATGGGAGAAGGTGACGATGGAAGAAAAGAGGGACTCGAATGGGATAGGGGTGGAACCTCAGAAAAAGAAGGAAAAAAAAAAAAACGGAAGAAGGAAAGATGACTTTAGGTCCTTGCTCCCTGTGGGCATCTAAAAACAGGCCTCTTTGCTGCGAAACTAGACCCTGCTGCTTTTATATTTCAGCATCAAATCCTAATATGTTGAAAGGAGGATTAATTCTCCCAGGGTATTCCGGAAATCTTGCATATAAACGAAGAAATTACTGGTTCTAATGTTTTGCAGGAGAATCCTGTAGGTGTATGTTGATTTAATTTCTATTGACTAAAATCCCTTCAGTCTTCAAACCTTGTCGGAGTGGCTGATTTTTATTAAAGGTTTTATTAGAAGCCATCAGTGATTTCTTTAGTTTAAGACTCTAAAATAAATATATTTTCTTTTCTAGTTAGGCCCTAGCAGATGATAAATAAAATGAAAAGGAACAGAAACCTCAAACTGAGCTTATCTGAATGCTGAATAATATTCTCATTCAAGGTGGGTATTAGCCCTATTTTTCCAGATAAGGAAACAAACTCAGTTGCTGTTGCCATCATCTGGTAAGTAATGTAGTTTACAAACCCGGGTTTTTTATCATTACTATGTCCGTATTTTTCCCTCTGCACATTCAAAAGAAAAAAATTCGAAGTAGGGAAAATAATCCCTCAGTGGTGGACCAATGTTCACAGCTGTCTCAATATTATGAAAATGTCGGGGGGGTCTTCCCTGCCTGGAATAAGCAGATCAATATACACTGAGTCCAAGATAATGGGTAGGCCCTGAAGCAGTACTATTTAATAGTTAAGATGGATGAGGACATTTATTCAACCTTACTTATGTTAATATTAAACGATTTCAGACAAAAGAAAACAAGTCTGTAGTCGGAAGCTGTTTAAGAAGTCATTTGTTGACTCTTCAATACAGACAGGGAAACAGGGACCTGTGGAAGTTTGATGACGTGCCCAGCATCGTCGGGGACTGCAGTGAAGTGTCTCAGTTTTTTGGTCTTGAGGTTTAGAGTTGTCTCAAAGCCTCTTAAAAATTTTTGAAGCTAATAAATTTTACAAAATACTTCTGACTTTTCTAATTTTTTTCCCTTGAGTACGCTAATCAGGTCAGCTTCTCGTGTCTCCTTCAGCTAATGTTCCACCCTTACTATACAAAGAATTTGAAACATAATACTCCTATTTTAATGAAATCTAGAGTCAGTATAATTTGTACCTCCACTCTTACCAGCCTTCACCCAACCCATTTGTTTCATAGCAACTTCTGATTTTTTTTTTGCTCTTGTTTTCTAATTGTAGACTTACAAACTCAACAAATATTCAGTAAAATGCTACTTTCAAAGTTCCTTCCTTCTCCATTTCAATACGGTATCAGGTCCAAACTCCCCCTTTTATAGAGCAGTCACCTCTATTATATTATCCCTGGTGATGGCTGAGTGCATTTCCTAAGAGTTCTAGGATTTAATTTATAAGCTGCCACAATGTATAAACACAGTTATTGAAAATCTCAGCTCCTACAGCATTCATTACCTTGTTTATATGAAGTTGAAGTTTCATCTATCATTATATTATTCCAAAATCCTGACAGAACGATCTGGAATTCTTTCATTTTCCCTCTAACCTTGACTAACAAATAATCCTATCTTCATAAAAATGCTAAAATATTGTGTGTGCCTTTCCACCATTTTCTCCAAGCAAAACTAAAGATACAGCTTCATAAAATTCTCATAAAATACCTACACATTCATCTAAATTTGTAAAATTTTTTGCCCTTGGTTTCATGATGTTTTAAAATCCATATCAGGTGTTGCTTCCTTCACTGCCACCACCCATCTGCTCCCTCCGCCCACGTGCCCACTCTTTGGCACATACACTGGAGATAAATAGAGAAGTGTTGGCATCTAAATCAAACCCTGTCTTCAGACTTTATCCCTTTTGTCTGTTTCATTTAAAAGAATAACTGCTGCTTGAAAAGTACCAAACCTTGTCTACCCTCTCATTGCCTGTAACAGCATTCCCATTAAATCGTCAATGAGGGCACCTGAGAATTACAGCTTTGTGATATAATCTCCCAACTGGCAGTCCCCCACTCTCAAAACTGCTCTGGGCGAATCCGGAAGAGCTGGGAGTCCCTTAACAGGAGTTGGCATTTTCTAAACTCTGTGTTCCCCTAGGTACTCACCTAGCTAGCTCATCCAAATTTGTAAGTTTAATCATGTGTATAGAGAACCAACATCCCCGTGTGTGAGACACAAGCGCAGGAAAGTTTATTTTATTTCCCATTAAACGGCATGCTTTGACCATCCAGATTCGTTTTAGAAAGACAAGGAAAAGCTTCCTGCGCCATCGGAATCATTAGCAAGTCACTAGGTAGTTAAGCACGCCAAGCCAATGTCATGCTGCCTGGGGTTGCAGGTAATTTCCAATGATGACACAGCTGACTTCCTACAGGGCTGTTTTTTTGACTTCTCAAAAATTGTAGGTGCTCGCTTTTACACCTCATTGCCTCACTCAACTAAATTAATTGTCTGAGTGTCCCTTGGCCCCAGGATTAGATGAGAAAAGACTAGGAAAACTACAATGCTTAGGTGTAGTGCTGAGATTATTAGGTATAAACATCCAAATACTCCCCTGTGGCTGCGGGTGGGGCCGTGGAGCGGCAGGCGGCATAGAAATAGAACACACGTCCTAGGAAGCCCGTCAACAGATGTACTGGGGAGGCCCAGTTGGGGTACAAGCAGTCAGTCTAGAGAACAGGAATGTCCCCTGTCTGTGACGATTTCTCCACCATAGCTAACATTGTCCTTTCTAGGCTGGTAAAGCATATTTTTCATGAGTTTTTTTCTTTTTCTTTATTTTCTCAATCCCTCTGCCCTCCCCCCCAGCTCCCCACACCTTCTGCTGTCAGACCCTGCTGTCTCTGGGTCTGTCTCTGTTTTGTTAAAACGTATTTTTCAAATCTCTATTATAGCACTTAGTGTTGCATTATGTTTTTTATATATTTACATGCCTGTCTTCTCCATTAGACTATGAACCACCCAAAGTCAAGGATATTTTCTTATTCCTGCCGTAAACTAAGTGTTCAATAAACATTTATCAAAAAAAGTGTGTAGAATAATGCCTATAACCAAGAGTCATTAATGATTTAAAATAATGACTCAGCTTAAAGTGAGTCGTGACTTTTGTTTTAACTTTATATGTTTGCCCTTTAATTATACTACTTTCATTTCATTATCCCTAACTATAAAAATGTACATTTTTTTCTTTGCTTCCTTACATTTAGAAGTTTTTAATTCTCTTTACAAAATAATGTCACCTTAACATTTTTTCTTTAAAGAAATATGAACAGAAAACCAGAGAACAGATAGATCCAAAAACACTTGTTTATTTTACCAACGACTTAATTGTTTGTACCACCGTTTTTAGAATATAAGTGGTACATGCACACCCCCTAGTGGGCACTCTATTCCTCAGTACAAATACACGAAGAGAACTTCCGTGGAAAGCTTAATAAATGAGTAGCTTTCAAGCAGTTCAAAATTTCTACTACATCCACTACAGGAATTTGGAGCATGAACTGTGTGTGAGGCATGGCTACCATGCTTACTATGTATAGTTTTTACACTTAGAGCTCAGAGTCAGTTCTGGTCAGTAGTTCAATAAATTGCCTAAAATTCTGTCTTGGCAAAATCTTGTTACATTGTGTTTCTGCTGCATAAGGCTGATGTCAACAGTGAGCCCTGCAGGAGTCCGTGGTAGTCACAGTTACCAGTTCTGACAGGACAACTTGACAATTCCCAACATTCTTCTCCAAACACAAAAATAAGTCACTTCCAAATGGTGTGCCATTTGAAGGCACCATTTCCAAAGGATTTACTCAAGTCAAAATTCTCAACAATACAGATAACTTTTATATATGTTCTGCAATAGAAAATACCAGAGATAATTTTGGTTTTTGCATAATTTACCCTGCAAGTTCTAAACTATATTTGCGATGTACTGAGCAATAGAACTTACAGTTATTATGTTTGCAAATGCTAGCTTCCGTTTAGGACCTGTTCTTTTCTCTTGCCTTCAGTATATACTCCTTGTAAACTTTGCTTCAGTAAAAAGTTTTAGTTGCTGAGCAATTTTTTTCACTTAATATGCAACAAGTTCAAGGCCACGTGCCGAAGATGGTTAAATTTACCTGTCAGCTTGACTGGTCAATGGGGTGGCCAGATCTTTGGTCAAACATTCTGTGTGTGTGTATGAGGTTTCTTCTGAATGAGATTAGCATCTGCATCAGTACAATGAATAAAACAGGTCAACCTCCACAGTATAGGTTGGTTTCATCCAATCAGTTGAAGGCCTGAGTAACACAAAAGAGCTGACCTTTCTGCTGCCTGACTGCTGTCAAGCTGGGACAGTGATTTATCTGACATTGGATGAAACCAACCTGTATATCAAACTGAAATAGCAGCTTTTCCTGGGTCTGGAGCCTGCCTGTCTTCAGACTGGGACCACACCTGCAGCAGTCCTGGGTCCACAGCTCGCCCGCTGCAGATCTTGGAACTTGTCAGCTTCCATAGGCACCTGAGCTGATCCCTTTTCAAAAATAAATTTCTCTCTCTCACGTATATAGATATAAATATACAGCTATGTATGTCTGGAGAACCCTGACTAATATATTTATTTTACTTGCATTTAAAAAACCAACCCAATTAGAATCTCAGTCCTCTTCTTTCCATTCAGTAAGTGTATCATCGAGCATCCTTTCCATTTGCCAGTCATAGTTATTCCTTTGATTTCTTTCATAATGACTTCTTGAGCTATATTCTTTGTCAAAGACATACATTGCATCTTTAAAGAGGTAGGAATACTCTTTTTTTCACCATGCTGATTCTTATAATGGACAAGCCTTCTCCATCTTTCACTTTCAAACTTTCAATTATTTATTTATATATATATATATATATATATATATATATATATATATATATATATCACTTTCATATTAATTGCACTTAAAAAAAAACTAACATTACGAGCAGGGACACACTGCACCAGCTCAGAAGATGGACAGATTCTCATGATATCAGGTCAGTGATGGGAGTTTCAAGGGAAGGCAAGGTGAGGGAGGAATTATGGAGAGAGGCCTCCTGGGTTGGTGATGTCCTATGGAATTCTGTTAGAGTTGTAGATTTAGCAATGAACTCCTCCAGAATGTTCTACCAGGGCCTCTGGGGGGAAATGAACAGTAGCTTACTGCATAAACGTGCCAGGCACATGATGGAGAGGGGCGCATACAAGTCTGCCTGGATCTGTGCAGCAGCTCCTGCAAGCACTTCATCATCGGGAACAGGAGAGAGTGCTGTTGGAGTTGCTGATCTATCATGCCGGTGCACCGTATGCACAGTTCAGCAAGTTTTTGGCCATGTGTTTAGGTAATTGAATACATTTAACTGTGCTGCAATTACGTCAACATGGGTATAAAGGCTCATGCTTTCAATGATTAAACCTGCAACTTTTGACAGAGTACCACCTACTTTGTGCCAGATCTGGATACACCCCAGACCTCTGTGTCCCATTGCTCCTCAAGTTCACACATCAAAATTTAATTCAAGCATTATCTCTTCCAGGAAATCATCCTTTATCATCCACAAATCTCTTACACTTTCCCCTCATTCTGGGCGGGAAGACCCTGTCAGCTGCTCTTGACACACTTGTGCAAATTATGTTATAATACTGCTTCTTGCCTTCCCCCATCTCGGCTGCCAGAGGACAGGGACCCAGTGGAGTGTCTCTCAGCCCAGCCAGGAAAGATGAAGCACATGACAACAGGATAAGGGCAAAGACTAACCCAGCATACACTGACTTTTATGGGCCAATCCAAGAAAGAGGTCTTCAGGGAGCCCGAGATGGGTTCAAAGTTTGCTTTTGATGCCCAAACCCATCCTCTTTCTAAGCTCCCCCAGAAAGAAGCAGTGATGCAAGAATGATCCTCCCTGAGCCCAGCACTCCTCCTTGATATAACAAGTAACAATAGCTCTCTCAATGCCTGGTTGTATGGATTAAATCCAGATAAAGGATACAAAAACTTAGAGGATTATACAGTGTTACTATTTTCCAGTCAGTAATGCCAAGGTCTCCTTCAAACCCCACAGCCTTGCTGCCACAGCTTCCCCTGCAGGCCAACATCTGCCCCTCTTCCCTGTTCCTTATTCTGTCCTGTCTTTTCCCTCTTCCCACTTAGCTGTCTGCTTTCCTACTCCTTCCTTTCCTGTCCTTCCCTACTCCTCTTTCCTCTCTCTCCAGCCCTCCATTCTCTCCCCCCTTTCCCTCCTTTCCTACCTCCAACTCTCCTCACTGATTTTTTTGCCCAGGAGGCCATACACAAGATGAGAACTGAACCAAACTGCCTGAACCCACCTGTACTACTACCATTATTATCTAAGCCTTATATCTGTCAGATGTAAAATGCATTTGTTAAAAAAAAAAAAAACCCACAAGCACTTAACTCACAGTGGCTTTGGAAATTAAACAAGATATGTAGGTAGGTACTTAGCAAATTGGCTGGCCCTCTGTCAAGGGCTCCGAGGCTGGTTTCTGGTTTCTCACCCTTTCTCTTCACCTAGGCCCAGGGTTAAGATGAGAAAATAAGACTAAAGGGTACAGTTGACAGTAACAGCACCATGACTTTCAAAGAAAGAAGACTTCTTTAGTCTAATGCTGGCATCAAATAATTAAATTGTCATCTTACTCACCTTCACCACGCATTGATCGTATTTCCGACCAATCTAGGTTTTGTGGTCATAAATGAAAGGCCTGTATGCTCCTACAAAATTAACACTAGGTTTTCTGATGAAAGGTAGAAGATTTGCTTTATATGACCTTGTTCTATTTGCAGAAGAAAAAATTTCTTCCGTTTTTACTTAGGGAATATCAAACATTGGAAAAAGCAAAATATTTCTTTACAAAATTTAACCAAGAGGAGAATTACATGCAGATACCTCTTAAAATTCCTTTCTGAGACCTCCCCCACCAAAAAAAAAAAAAAAAGTTGTAAAGGAACACTAATTAAGATGTGGTCCACAGACCAGAGACTATCTGTACTGTTTGTGATAAGCCAATACAGAAACTGAAAATGTTTGGGAAATTTTATAGTACTTAGGCATTGTCTGGATATCCAAGTCCCCAATCAGTGACTCTTCTCATGTAGCCCAGTATAGAAGTCAGACGTTGTTAAATTAGACTTACCAGGTCAGCACCGCCTAGTGGAAGTACACAGGGATCGTGTATTGGTTCTCAAATAGCTGGGATGGGGGAAACTGGCCGTCTGTCACACATACTTTGAGAAGCACTGATGTAGTTCCACGATTTTATGCTGTTGGGGAATTGAGTTCTCAATTATCAAGAATTCATTTATTCTAAGTCTTAAAATGTGGATACATCAAATATGTGGGATATAACACCATTGTTGAGACTAGAAAGAAATACCTGTCGAAAAGGACTGCTTGTGGTTAACTGGACCCAAATTCATAATCAGTCTAGCAGCTATTGTTTACAGAGCCTTCTCATGCACATTGCATTTTGGGGGGAAAGCCATATATTGGGCTGTCAAGTCTCCCACACTGTTTTTCTGACATTTGAATCAACACTAATAAAGGAGTTGCTGGTATTGTATTTCAACCAATGGGCTGAAAATTGCCCTGTTCAGTGGGAGCTGTGCAGCCAATCATTATTTGCATCTATAGTGACCAATCAGGGCTGCTTTACAACAACCAACCTGTGATTCCAACCAATGGGAACCATACTATTTGAACCAATCAAACTGTGTAAACTTGGGTTCCTAATTTGCATAAAAATGGGCTAATCAGAGACCACACTAGGCACTTTCTCTATAAAAGTGGACATCCCCTTTGTCTTAGGGAGCCCGCTTTCCATTCCTTCTACAGGCTGGGTTTCCTTAGTTTGCAAACTGTTTACCTGGGTAAAGTCTTTCCTTTACCACACCTCAAATTGGGACTACTGTTGACATTGGATTGGTGGCAGCGAACTTTTGCTGACATCACCTTGCACATTTCTGTACTGGAAAACTAAATATTTCAGTTTTGCACCTCCCTTATCAAACCTGCTTTTTGCCAAACCAGTGTTGGAGCTCACCCCTTATCATAGGGAGAGCTGGCCATCGTGTGTTTGAAGATGTTAAGCGTGATAGAAAGCAACGGTGCCATTTCGCAGCCAGTTCTGATTGGGAAAAAAAAAAAAAGGCCCTTGCTTTTCTCAGGCAGACCTCTTTTGAGGTTTTCAGGTCAGATTCCCCCTCTTCCAGATAAGCCCATTTTAAACTCGCCATGGACTTTACAGGAAGGAAAGATAAATGGATTGTTTATGTCTTTTAAAAAAGCCTTTCAACCCCTAGAGAGTTTCTGGTTTATGTTAGACAATCGAAAGAATCACTTTCTACACTAATAGGAGTAATAGTGGGAGATTTGAACCCCTCCAGGGGAAACCAAACATTCTCATTTAGAAGAACATAAAGAAGGGGTGAAGTGAGGCCGTTGGTTTAAACACACTAATTTTTGCTGGTACTTCAAGGTAGAGCGAAGAGCCTGCAGACCTTTGACTAAATAATCAACTAAAGGGAGCTAGAGACTGCTTACGGAAACTACAATTCCCAGCATGCCTCAGGGGGCGGGCCTGGCGGCCGGGGCGCGGAAGGTCACGCGGCTGCAGCATGGCGGTGTTTGCAGATTTGGACCTACGAGTGGGCACGGATCTGAAGGCACTGCGCGGACTCGTGGAGAACGCTGCTCACCGTGAGTCGCCCTGGCCTCTGTGCCTGTCCAGCCTCGATGTCTGCCAGACAGTGGGGCCACGTGTGGCAGGGACCGGACAAAGCGGTGCTGCTTTCAGGTCTCTGGAATGTCCCTGGAAACTGATGCCCACCCAGATGTTGCTCGGCTCCCGAACGCGGGAAATCCGAAGGCACTGGGCAGCTGTTACCTAGTCTAGCTCATTCTTTCCTGCAGACTGAAGGAAACTGAGGCCGTGAGAAGGTGGGAGATTTGTATAGGGCCCCACAGCTGATGGATGGTAGAAGTCAGGGCTTCCGAGTGTAATCTACACTAGTGCTTTTAATGTCACCCATGTGTTTCTTTAACGACAGTGTCAGAGCAAAGCAGGTGTGCAGCGCGGGAGTACTTACTGTGGGGCTCGGAGAAAGGGGGCGGGAAATGGGGCTGAGAGTGTTGGAATAATATTTAGAGGAAGAAGGATAGGTAGGAGAGCATATATTGGCGGGGAATGAAGGGACGGGGAGCAACGTGGCCGAAACGCTGGAATAGTACTCACACTGAATCCAAGGGAAGCGAAAACCCTGAAGAGATAAGAGCCTGTTTTAATTATTGGAATTAATCATGACTGCTGTTTTCTTCCTTAGATGTGGGGTAGAAGCTTTAAAATAAAGAGGTTTCTGCAGGGAGATCCATTCTTCAGTCCCAGCTCTGTGAGAGCTGGTAATGATACTTTTCAGAGATGGTGCTAGATGAAGCCACTCCTTGGCAAAGTGGATTACACCATTTCTTCCCATCCCCTTTATGAAGTATCTGTAGAGAACTGACTTTCTCTTTCCATTGCAGCCACTAATTAGCGTTCTCTCTGAGTACACTTTCCTCACCAGTGAAAAGGAGGAGGTAGACAAGATGATCCGGGCCTTTTAGCGCTACAATTTGATGGTTTCTTAAAAATCCGTTTTTCTGGGTGTGATGTGTCTTGTATTACTTTCTCAGTGAAACTTTCCCTGGTGCCATTCCCTTACTGAATGAATCATGATTTTCTTTTGAGAAGGGCCATGTCTTTCAGTTATTCTTTTCTTTATTTCGTGTGCCCAGTATGGTCAGTCACTCAGCAGCCCTGGTGGTTACTCAGTTAATGCTCATGGAATAAATAAATTGTACACCTTTTTAAAAACTCAGGAAAGTTACAATGATTTGTTTAGAAAAATTGTCCCAGTTTTAAATATGCTTGAAAGTGATATGGTAAAGTATATATACATTGTTACCTGAAGTATATAAATATCTAAAGTATTTTCATAGAATGAAAATGAAACGAAAAGTCCTAATGTGACTCCAATATGAGTCAGAGGTAAAGGACTGCTGTTTGGTGAGTGGAAGAACACAGAAGACAGAGCCCTGGTTCTTAGGTTGCGATATGATGTAAGGCACCAATGACGAGCTTCAGAGGATGCTGTATAAATAAAGTTACACCAGAGACTGATTGGGGAAGTAACCTTAAGATGCCAGATGAGTAGTTTAGGATAAGTGTGTGAAGAACTTGAACCTAGTTGACGTTTCTCAAGGACAATAGAATGTTGAGAAACATAGTTCAGTAGTCAAAAGGGTATCCCAAGTACATATAACAGAAGAGCCTAGAGTAGACTTGGGAGTACAGTAAAGAATGCTGGTGGGGGAGGCTTCAGTGGGGGTTGGTAAATTTGACTGAGTGAAAGGTGAAGCACAAAGTACTGTATGGGCAAATTTCTCTTCTATTTTCTGTATTCTTAACACTTAGTACTCAGACTGTCAAGTAATGGATACTTAATAAATATTTGAGAGAGGAAAAAAAGAAGGAAGGTGGACAAACTGATGACAGGGAAGACCCCTATTTTGGCATTAATATGCCTGATGTTTTAATATACTGTCATTCCCCCGCCCTGTGTGGTGCTTACATAACTTGAGACAGGAGTCATGACATATTTTTGGTCGTCCACATGCCCAGAATGGTGCTCTGTGTTGGGGCTGATAGAGCAAATCCCTGGCCTCAGAGGGTTTTCGTCCTTGATGATGGGGAGCTCAAAAAGAGAAATGGACAGTGGTGTGAGGCGGTCATTACTCCATTTCTCCTGAGGAAGCCTCTCAAGGAAGTAGAAAGGGTAAAAAGCAAAAGAAATGAGGATAAAGGTAATGCTGAAAAATTGTAAAGCTGATGGGATGAAAATGAGAAAAGGAACATGAAAGGGAGTGGTAGTTGGAAAGGAGACACACGAAGTTAAGAGTGTTTAGTATCATGATAATATTATACCACAGAGGTCAAGCAAAGCCTTAAATATGTGCCAGGCACTGTTCTAAAACACTGTGTGTATTGTTGTTATTTAATTCTCATGAAGGTGTATGATGAGTTCTGTTATCATTTTGACAGATGAGGAACCTGAAATTTGTAAGTGGTAATGCTTAGTTGGAAAGCAGGCATTCTGACACCAGAGTTCATACCCATACTGCTCTGCAGACGTTCTCCTTGTCATGACATCTAGAATTGGGTTGGGCCCGGGTGTACTGGGATGGGAAATAGAGGTTGTAACGTTTAAGAATGCTCAATTTTTCTTTTCAGTTGGCTATTCAGTTGTTGCCATCAATCACATTGTTGAATTTAAAGAAAAGAAACAGGTAAAATATAATTTCTGAAGTTAATAATAACCAGTTTTCACAGTTATTTGTTTATGTTGGTAATATGGAACCTGCAGATAAGCTTATTTCCTTGCAATTTTTAAATGTACTCTGCATTTTTTATAAGAGTTGATGCATATTTGTATAAATGGTAGTGTTTTGTGAAGTACTAGGTCATGCTGTGAGGATTGTTAAAGTTGATTTAATGTTAGTTAAGTCACTTCCAATAAAGTCACTTTTTTTAAAAAGTGCATTGTTAGTGACTAACTGTGATCACAATATTTACATTTTTTTTATTGTCGTGGTCTCGTTAACTAATTGACTTCCCTGGTAAACATATTAGTAAGTATGTATTTCTTTTTGGGCCATACAGATTTGGACCTTACTGATTATTTCAGTCTAAAAACTGCTTTTTATCCCTCCTATCCATTCATGCTCACAGCTTTCTTCCTGTATTTTTTTAAGGAAAAAAAGCTAATTTAGTGTCTCTGAATATAAGAAGTTAGCCTCCTTTCTTTTAAACGAAAAATTATCTTTCCCACAAACCCCTAGTAAGTTTTCCATTATTCCTTGCCCCATTAACATGTACAATCTAGAGTAACTGTTCATTGTTTGTTGTAGGAAATTGAAAAGCCAGTAGCCATTTCAGAACTCTTTACAACTTTGCCAATTGTACAGGTAGGTGTTTTGTTGTTTGAGAAGCATAATACCTGTTCATTCAATGCAGACACACCCAAAGATCAGTGTGGTCCTCTCCCCAGCTGTGCCCCTTCCTCTGTCTGCCTAGTCTTGCCTTTTCACCAAGACCCAGCTCTTCTCTGAAACCTTCTGTTACTGTTGATTCCACACTTCTTTGCTGATCTTCCTTCCTGCAGTCCTACAACCTGTAAATTATGATGTAGTTAACATTGCATCTTCTCTCTTTACCTGTATTACAAATTCCTTCAGAACGAAGGCTAGGTTTTATTGATCTTTACTACCCCTGTTCCTGGTATCTTTTAATAAATACTTCCACGGGGAAAGAGGAGAATCAGTCATTTGTATTTTGTGCTTTTTTTTAATGGCATGTTTTTGATTATAGGGAAAATCAAAACCAATAAAAATTTTAACCAGGCTGACAATTATTGTTTCGGACCCATCTCACTGCAACGTTTTGGTAAGTTAATTATCTTTCTTCTCTCTCTTTGGACTTAAGAATTGCACTGGTTAATGTTGAAAGTGTTGTTTTTCAACTTACCCTATTCTTACACCCCCACCCCCAATACATGATACCTGCCCGTTCTCCCTGTCCTCAGAATTCACATAATATAACAGAATCTCTCCTACTCCTGGCACATGCACAGGAATGCCACAAGACACGAGACCTTTGGCAACTATTAGTCATTGAACTCACATGACCAGACATAAGGCGGGTGCTGGGGATATTGCTGTGAATAATATAGACATAGTCCTGTTAAATCTTTGAGGAATATCTAAAAAGATGAAGGTAGTAAATAAAAGGTGCTCTGGTGGCCAGTCTGAGGAGGCTCATGTTCAAGCTGGGGCCAGAAGAATCAGTAAGTGTTACACAGGTGCTGAGTCGGGGGCTGGTTGTTCCAGTAGAGGGAATGGATTATGCAGAGGCTCTGAAGCCAAGGAAAACATAGTGTGTTCTGGGAAAGAAACACCACACCAGGGATAAGCCTCGTGAGCTTCGTTACCTGGGATGGAGTTAGGGAGGTGGGTCCGGGTAAGCAGTTGGCAGCCCTTAAATGCCTTAATCAAGGGAGGTTTTATCTTGGAGAATGGATCAGAGGGTTAAGGATGAGATTTGAGAGGCCTCTGGGTGGGAGGGACCGGTGGGAGGGACGACAGTGTTTGAGGGTTGATTGGATATCAGAGGGCGACTCCCTGGTGTGGCCTGAGTGTCCAGGTAGATAGAGGGCGGTACTGTTTCCTGAGATGGGGCAGGCAAACAGAAGCAGATTTGAGGGCATAGCATTTGGAACATGATAGGTTATTGGAAAAGTTCCAGCAGAGCCTATCAAATGGCAATGGGAAAAAAGGCACGGCCCTCAGAAGAGCAATCTTAACCAAAGACCGTGACGTGGAAGTGGTCGCCTTATAGAGAATAACATGGGAGTGGACGGTACTCCCTGGTCCAAGTATGTTGTGAGCACAGAAGGTCTAGGACAGCGTCCTGAGGAATCTCAGCATTCAGTGGTAGAGAAGGATAAGCTAGGGCTAGAGGCTGAGGAGGGACTTTCGGGAAGTGGGAGGACAACACGGAACATGAAAGGGAGATGTGGGAAAGGGTCCGAAGCATCCATGTGCCTGAGTAGTCAAGCAGGAAAAAGGCTAAAAAATGCCTGTTGGGTCCATTAGCGGGAAAGCCATTGGTTACCATAGCAACACCATTTGTATGAAAGTGATAGGGATGTGGGAAGATGCAGCCAGTGTACACTGCTGACTTTGCTTGAGAAATTGGACTTCGTCGGGAAGCGGAAGGCATAAGGAGGTTGGTGGGTGAGAACCTGCTGTATGGATGTTTGTGAGATGGGAGAGACCTGACTGTGTCTGCTGCTGGTGAGAAGGATCCAGTGGGGAGGAGAGCAGGTGAGATCCCTGGGAAGGTGAGCTGCTTTATCTTCAGTGAGAATAGACGCCTCGAACAGGAGTTACCCAGAAAAAGCTAACCTCCTTTATAACAGTTGGCATTGCTAAGTTGTTATAACCGGTTTTGGTATTTTATACAGCTGTAAGGCAGCTGTATTTTTGTTTTATAGGTCTGGGTAGACATAAACAGAACTGATTTTTTTGCCCCACTTCCCAAGTGGGAGTGGGCAAGCAGAGGACGGAGGAGCCTGGCTCCTGGCCTTCTCTAAAACCTGGAGCCTGCCCTGCCTCGGTGCAGGCCTGCCCAGCAGGTCTTCTCACCTGCTTAAACAGCACCTGCTGCTGCTTTTAAACCCTCCTTTCCTTCTCTACTTTGTACTATGCCTTTTCTTTTACCAAAAAAAAAAAAGTGGTTCTGAACATTTAGAAAGTGCCAGCAAGCAAAGGAGAAATATCACCTACTCCATCATTCAGAGATTGTACATTGAAGATATATTTTCCAGTGTTTTCACATCCATCCACATGCAGTATAAGTTTGAAATTATCTTTTTTAAGCAGTAACTCTTTATCTTTAACTGATACATTTCTCTCTCTCCGTCCTTGGATTCCTGGGTATTTTCCTGTACATTCAGCAGTTTAATTCCTATTTAACAGTATTCTCATTGTGAACTAATTGCCTCACACTTGGTCAAGGGTATTTCTTGTCTCACATCAAAATGGGGAATTCTGCAAAGGGCAGACATACACCTTAAATGAAGTCGTACCACTGCTGTCCTGCACACAGCGGGTACTCACTCCGTCAACAGGTGGCGAGCTCCTGCACCAGCTTGTAAAAGCAAGGGCTGTCTGATTTGATCTTTGTATCTCAAACCCAGTGTTTGATGTGTTGGGTTGGCCAAAAAGTTTGTGTAGTTTTTTCCGTACGATGGCTTAGTGGAGCTTAGTCGTTTTTAACTTCATTGGAAACAGTTCTGTTAGATTGTATTGTGACAGCTGTCATACTAGTGAGCATTTTTTTAAAAAGTGCAACCATTTAAATGTTGAAGATGGAAGGAGATGTGCAACATTGTCAGCATATTATGCGTTACTATTTCAAGAAAGGTAAAAACACAAATGAAATGTAAAAAAAAAAAAGATTTGTGCAGTGTATGGAGAAGGTGCTGTGACTGGACATGTTAGAAGTGCTTTGTGAAGTTTCTTGGTACTGTTGACATTTTGGCCAAATAATTCTTTGTTGTGGGGCTGCCTTATGCATTGGAAGATGTTTAGCAGCAGCCCTAGAAGCCAGTAGCAGGAGATAGCCAGCATACTCAAAATATCCAAATCAATAAAGTTATTTGTGAAAATGAAAAATGTGTCTTATTTTACAGAAAACTCTGAACAGACTTTTTGGCCAACCCAATACATACAGTTAAAGTGTAACTAGGAAGGAAGATAGAAGATTGGTGGGGTGGATGTTGGTATTAGAAGGTCTCTACAAACATACAAATGAAAGCAGAATTGTCAGTGGCATATTAGGTGTGCAGCAAGGCCATGAGGCAGAGTTCCACGTGTATTATTTTTTTACTGTATGATAACATTCTTTTTATATTATTAGAGAGCAACTTCTTCACGGGTCCGGCTGTACGATATTGTTGCAGTTTTTCCAAAGACAGAAAAACTTTTTCATGTAAGTAACAGCTTAAGTAAAAGAAAATAGTGTTTATTGTTTTATAAAAGAAGTCTGGTTATTATGCCGTTGTAGGTGATCTGTTTAACCTTATGTGGAAACTTCTAGGATTTTTCATACACGATTCTAGAACTTCACAGGGGTGTACTTAGTCGGCCCGTGTTGTTTTGTTCTGTTCTGTTCATCCTGCTAGGCATTTGATGGGCTCACATTTGGCCAGCCCATCAGATTTTCTTCTGTTTCTTCATCTCTGCTTCATTCATTCTTTCATTCATCCATTTATTCATTCATTGGAAGCTTCCGTTAGTAAATGCTGGTCTTTCTCTCTGTAGTTCTGAAATCACTTCTGTTTCTGCTACGTGCTGCTGTGTGCTGGGGAGGAAAGGTGTACGGTTCCGTGTGGCATAGAGGCCACCTCTGACCTTTCTCCTGTGCGTGCTCTGCAGCGCGGCCCATGCACTAGCTTGATCATGTCAGCCGTCAGTCTTCCAGAAATTCTCCAAAGCCAACCATCTGCTGATACTATTCCCCTTCCTGGACTGAGAGCTTTTATGAATATATTTCCTTTTGCACTTTTAAAATTGCCATTTCTGTGATTTTTTTCAGGAGGGAGAGTTGTATAACAGGTATGCTCAGTTTTATCAACCTGAGACAGAACACACAGGACATATTAAATGATCAGAGAAAAGGGAAAAAATCAGTGATACAGTTTTTCAGGAATATGTTTTATATTGTAAAATGAGATATAGATACTTTTAGAAAGTTCTGAATGTTGTCTTTAGGTTCAAAAAAGTATCTATCTGCAAAAATTATATCCAACAAAGGGATATTGTGGGGGGAAAAGGACTGGTCTTTGAAAGTTTAAATTTTACAGCACAGTTCAATTTTAAACAAAATCTATTCTAAAATTATAGGGAGATACTTCCTGAGTTTATCCAGTAGATGGCGCTGCGGACAAAGGAGACTGATGTTTGGTAAATCCAGTTTTCTAGGCAACCAATGAATGCCTAAGTGGAACAACAAATTGGTGTTTCTCCCCCTCCCCCCCCTTCTTCTCATCTCTAGAAATCAGTTCTCAGTTGTTTATATTATTGCAGGGAAACAGCACAACTTGTCTATGAATAACTTTTCTTTTGGTGAGTCCTTGCATAAAATGTTCAATTATAGCAATTTTCAATTTTGTTTCAGAAAAAGGGGTCAGTAGAAGGGAGTGGTTCTTAGTCATCAGAGACCCCTGTGGAAGTTTTTAAAATCAGGGGTGTTCAGCCCCCACCACTGGAGATTCTGATCCAGGAGGTTTGGAATTGAGTCTGGTTAGTTATCTGTTTCAAATTCCACAGGAGCTCCTGTTCATTGATGGTACCATGGTGTACAGTAGGAGGACTGTGGGTAGTTTCCAGATTTGTTAAGTAGAAACTTAGCTTTGTTATTAACTGATGACTCAGTTTTGTTATACGCTAAAAGTTGGTAACATACCCAGTGATTGTTGTACCGTGTTTTTTCAAAATTGATTTAGAAGATTTAACTCACACTTTCATACCATTTACTGGTGATTAGAGGAACAAACAGAACCTTTAAAACATGGCATTGTGGCTGGAAGGCACACATTTACATCATCTTCCGAAGACTTTCCCATGTTTTTTACCTTTAATACAGCAACCCTGGGGGATCATTGGGACACATATTTGTTATTCTCCCCATTTTGTAGGAGAGAAAACTGAGGCTCAGGCTAAATGATCTGCTCTAAATCTCAGGTAGTGTGTTGTGGAGCTAGGACTCTCGGTTTTAGAACACATTGTGATTCCATACAGCGATTGCATCTTAGTTACTTATCTTATTGTTTTCCTCAGACTATTAAAAAATGAATTTAGCCCTGGCTGGTGTAGCTCAGTGGATTGAGCGCGGGCCTGCGAACCAGACAATCGCAGTTCGATTCCCAGTCAGGGCACATGCCTGGGTTGCAGGCTAGTTCCCTGCAGGCCAGTTCCCAGCAGGGGACACACAAAAGGCAACCATACATTGATGTTTCTCTCCCTCTCTCCTTCCCTTCCCTTCTAAAGATAAATAAATAAAATCTTTAAAAAAAATGAATTTAAAAGCATAAACATATGCTTGATGGTGGTGAGTGAAACAAGTATTCTGGAAGAGGAAAGAAAGCTATAAGTAATTCATGTAGTATTTGTTTAAAATTGATTATACAGATAGTCTCCAAAAGTTACATAAAACAGTTTTTAAAATTGGAACAACTTCCTCTTATCTGTCCAGATCTTACCTATTCTCTAAAACACAGTTGAAGTTCTCGCTGTCCCTGTTTTCTATAGAAAATCAATTTAAATAAAGCCTTTTAAAGTATATCATGGCCTAGAATCAGGTCAGATGCAAGCAGTCGATTGTTTAAGAGGTTGTATTCTATAATTGATTCCATTTGTTTGGTTTGAAAGTTGATTAATTTAGCAGGTATTTCTGTAGATACAATATTCTAAAACCAAGTTAGGTCTCTAAGATGAGTCATAAAAGCATATACACACATATGTTATCAATTAGTGGGATAAAATCTAACCACCTTAAATAGCATTGTTTCCATGGGAAATAACATACTCTTTGTTTCACTAGAAGTCTCTGGAAGATGTCTCATAGATAAACCCTTTCTCTGCGTAGCTACCCCAGGGAATAAGGCAAAGATGAAAGATTATGAGGGGAGTCCATTGGGCAGAGCTTCTTGGGATGGTGGAGGAGGGGAGTGGGATGTGGCAGAGAGTTACAGAGAAGCCCCAGGGGCTTCTGCCTTAGTTGTTCCCATTTAAGGTTTAAAGTTGGTTGGAGCATCACCCTGCTGTGCCAAGGTTGCAGGTTCAGTCTCTGGTCAAGGCGCATTAAAAAAGCAACCAGTGAGTGTACAAGTGAAACAACAAATCGGTGATTCTCTGTCCCCCCTCCCCACCCCCACCTTGCTGCTTCTCTCTCTCTAATAATCAATAAATGGAATTTGTAAAAAATAAAGTGACTGGACAGGGTGAGGCGAATTCAGGTTATTTAGTCCAGTGGTCTCCAAATGACTTACATTGTGCACCCTATTGGTTCAAGAAATATATTGAAGCCATAGCCCCAAAATATGTATTTTTATTTTTGTATAAATTATTTACATATTTTATTGTATCAGTGTGCTTTAAGTATACAAGTACACCAAACAAGTTGTAAGAGAATGAACTTAAAAAATAAATGGAAATAGAAGTTCAGTTTGCTTCCTGATTCTGAAATCCATGCCTACGACCTTTTGAAGAGTAGGGCTGTAGGGCCTGCTGCCAATACCAGAGACTTGAGGGAAGGGCGCGTTTTTCAGGACGGTGCTTTTGGCTCCCCCACCTTCAGAATTGCCAGGGCTGTTTGGTAAAATGCAGATGATCAGGCCCTGCCTTTGCACTTATCACCGGAAGTGAGGCCTGGTAATCCCCACTTTGAATACAATTTTTAGGGGAATTTTTTTCCACACACGTAAGGTTGAGAGGTGCTGTTCATGGGCATCTCTCTGCCCAGGGTGAGTCTCACTCTCCCTTGCGTGGCATTTATTTATCATAGTAAAACCAAGGTGTGTTAACCTGACATCCATGAAGGGAGTTGGGGAGGACTGAACCCCTATCTTCCTCTTCCCCTTGTTTTATAAAGTCAGAATAAATGGATGAGCATATGTGTGCATTTTTGAGAATTCGCTTTTCTTAAATACTCAAAGGGAACCTTGGCCAAACAAAAAAGTTTAGAAACAATTGATATGAATTCATATACAACCTGACAAAACGACAATAATAAGATTCTTAACCATAAATATATTTGGGCATATTTAATCTTTTTTAGTGATTTAGAAAGTGTATCATTATACTGTGAATATTACCCTTATTTCATAATTTTCTAAGTGTAAATCAGGTGAACGTTTGGATTCGTAGAAAGCTAAATAACAAAAGAATTCAGGCTGAGACATTTTAAGTTTGAGGTGTTAGAGGGAGCCAAGGGGACCTGCCCTTTGTTACTGAGTTTATTACAATGCATGGACTTAAACCAACACAGGGGATATTATTTAGTGAGACGGTTATATGGGACGGGAGAAAAGGACCACTACATTAGTAAAAAGTAGCCTAATTTTAGTTTTCGTCTGGGGAAGAATGTTTCACAGGCTTTTAAAAAATGAATCAGCTTTTTTCATGAAAACTAGTTTCTGTTTATGATATAACTTCAAACAGTATAAATAGTTAAGCATTGAAAAGCTTTAAGCACTTTCCTTCCACCTAAACCTCCCACTCCCTTTTCTCCATAGGCAGCCACGGCTGACAGATCTGTGTATCTTTTCAGGAATATTTTTTACCTAGTCATTTCTTCCTTCATTCTCACCCCCCACCCTCCCTCCTTCCTTCTCATCTAACACCATGCTTTTTCACCTAAGGGTGTATCTTAGAGATAGCTCCCTGATGTCAGAGGTATACCTCATGGCCTTTTAGGAGTCAGCATACTCCTCGGTATGAAGGGACTGTAATTTAAGTAAAACTGGCATGTTTAATTGCATGTAGGCTTTCATGATTGGGGTTTGCAGTGACTCATTGTACTAATACCCTTGAGCATTTGTAGAGTATATAGCTACAAAATATATTTCTGGAGTCTACAGGATACATTCCTGTAGGTGAAGTTGATGGTGTGTGCACTTAAAATGTTGATGCCTCTTGATAAAGTAGTTTTTAAGACTCTGCTGATTTAAGGATCCCCCGAGTGCCTATTTGTTCATTCTTACATCAGCAGTGCATTCCTGAACTTTTTGATCTTTGCCATTCTGATAGTTACAAAATGGTGAACAGAAGCTGAACTTGTATTATCTACTGTTCAGAGCTTTTCTGCATCCATTCTTATTAAATTTTCAATGACTTTTATGAGTCGGACAGCTGTAGCAGTTGGGATGGGGCAGATTCTTTATGAGCCAAGTGTTTTTGCCAAAACAGTGTTACTTCCCAGACTTACCAGGTTACTAGGACTCTCTTAAAGCCAGCGAACCTGGGGTGGGGTAGGAGTGACCAAAGTGGGGATTTTGAAGAAATCCCTGTATTACCCATTCTTTGGCTTCTCTGCTTTGCTCCAACCTTTACCTTGGTCCGTGCCACTGATGTTGGGTTGTCAGCATAGCCACCCGGCAGTGTGAATTTGTTCACCGATTCTGTATGTCCCAGCACTGCCAGTGTGTCTTATTTTAAAAACAGTGCAGAATAGCCAATTATTTTTATTGCTGTAAATCAAATGGGAAAATCCAAGCCAGATACGCATCTTGCTGTCTTTGGCCTGTACCCTTAAGCTAGTAACCTTCCCCCAAATTTGTTTTCTTCCTTAGTTTTCCTTTTATCCTGATTCCCTTATCTATTTATTTTATCTTGCATGCAGGTTTTGTAAGCAGTTTCAAATCTCTTTTGGATGTAAATGCAGAGTATTAATAGACAAGTGACAGCAAAAATTACAGCAAAGGAAAGGGAAATGAAAAGCTGGAAAATGCATTTGGTATCATCTGATTTTTAACAGTCTGTTTTGACCATTTATGTGGATTGTTTTTGTTAGTCTTTGAACAGAAGCACATTTCATCGGGTCATGTTAATGTTTCTCCAGCCACTCGAATAGCCTGGGAGGAACCACAGGCCTGGGACAGCTCATAGCACGGAAATGAATGGTTTGTGGGGGAAAGTGGGGCATTTGGCTTGTCTTTTTCTTGTAGTTCAGAATCAGTTTCCCCTTTCTAGAACAGTCTAACCTTCCACAAACCAAGTGGCCCATCTTAGCAATCCATCCTTACATAGCAGACTATGAGTAAGAGGATCTCTGGGCCCTGTCTGTTGAGAAGGTGTATGGACGAGTAACACTGCTTCAGCTGGGTTATAGTTACACCACTCCAACCAGACCTGAAGGAGTGGTTGACCACTGACTTCATATTTCATCAGGTATATTTCAGTCCAGAATCATCATTAACACCTTTGGAGTGAAGAACATCTGTTTACATTTCTTTATATCAAGATTGACATTAGTTCCCATTCTTAGCATGTGCCAGTTTTCCTTTTGGCTTCCCCCCTTGCCCCACCTTTTTTTTAATGTCTGAACTTATTTGTTCGTTACTCTTAAATCTCATTTTTGAGTGGACTCAGACTTAGATGTAGAAGCTTTCAGTGAGGAGAGCTACGTCTCTTAGCAGTGTGTTCCTGGCAATTTTCCTTGGCCTCCTTCATTCTCTTAGCCTAAAGCTTAGCATATTTTACAGCCTCTTTCTTATTTTTCTTAGTACGTCGTTTCTTCCAAGTACTACACCAAGGTTTGTATTCAGGACGCGTGGCATAACAAGTCACTGGATCTTGGGTGCTTTGGTCCAAGTTTTACCTTCTTTATTTAGGGGCTTTCTCGCAGCATATTGGTGGACATCGTCTTTTTTTGAGAGATTGAGAAGTTTGTGGATTCTGCCAGCTCTTTTGGGCCCCGGGCGACAAGGCACAGTAGTATCAGTGAGACCAGGAATGTCTTTCTCCCCTTTTCTTACAGTGACGAACTTGGGAATACCAAGGTTGGCATCCGCACTGCAACCCGACCAGATTTGCACTCTTTTGTCTGTAACAGGAATGTCCCTTACTCAGCAGCAGGTGGACACAGCCACGGGTCAGGACACCTGCTTCATGGGGAAACCTTCTTTGTCGTTTCCTCCACTGATTCAAACCCATACCCCTCCCATTTTTCACCTGGAGCATCAGTCGCAGGTTCTGGGGCCATACGCTTCTCACAAAAGGTGGAGATTTGCATTCGTAGTCCACCTCAATGAGTTTCTGGCGGCCAGTGTTTTGGAAAGAGATGTTCAGCTGTGTCCTAGAGCAGCCAGCCGCCTCTGAGCTGCAGTGATAAAGCTTACTTTTTTTTTCTTTTTCACAGGTTGCTTGTACACACTTAGATGTGGATTTGGTCTGTATAACTGTAACAGAAAAACTACCATTTTACTTCAGAAGACCACCTATTAATGTGGTAAGTGTCACTGTTACTCTTTCCATTCTATGCTTGAATCTGTAGGAACTTAAAGATTAACAAACTAGACGAGATGCAGAAGAAACCAGTATTCTTAGATTAAAACCAAACAGGCAAACAAAAACAAAGGCTAGGTAATAAATAAGCATTTTTAAAAAGGGTTTTATTTTGGTAAACTGACTAAAAGAGGAAGAAGGGCTTAAAATTTTTTAAAAATCAGTAAATTATGGAGGTGTTTTTGAAACACCTTACAAATCAAAATTTATGAAGAAAATTTATGAAGAATATTTCAAATCAATATTTATGAAGCTAACATTGTTGGACCCTTATAGGCTGAATGTTGACTGTTAAGGAGACAGACCAGTTCAGAAAGAAGGGGAAGGAAAACGATGTATCTGGAGGCACCAGTGAGCTGGAGTGGGGGGTGGACAGGAGGGGGCGGGGCGTGGGAAGCAGAGCAGGCAGGGTCCGTGCAGGGCGAACGTCTGCACTGAGGCGGCTGTGTACAGACGCCCGGGCTACTTCCGCAGCAGTCTGAGAGGGGAGTCGTGCGTTCCGGGGACTTTTTGTTCCTCCTTCTGCCGTAGCATTTTCTCATTACCTTTCTATCTACTGTCTCTTGTTTTCTCTACCCTTCCTCTTTCGTCTGTCATGCCTTCTTGTAAGCCTTATTCTGTCGTAAAGGTGACATTTCATTTCGCTAGCAGTAAGGTCAGCACAGCCGACAACTGTTTGCCTTAGCAACCAGACCCTCGGAAGAGGCAGGATGCTGTTTCAGAAGGCTGGTTTCCAGGGCCTGGTCTTGCCTTCTCGGAAACTATTACGGAAGGAGACAGAGGCTAATAAACAGTCCAGATTATGCACCCGATCCTGTCGGAACTGGGAAATTAAAAATACATTTTTTTAAGATACAGAACTCCCCTGCTCTTTTGTCTCTGTAGGATCCAGCCTCCTCAAGTTGTTTTCCCGTCTGCTGCTAAGGGACGGGCTCGTTGCCAAGAATAGGGGGAGACAATGAGGAGAAAATTGATCTATATGGTGTGGAAAAATTGAATTCAGTGTGGAAAAATTTTAGTTGGCTTATGTTCTACCTCTAAAAATATGCTACCAAGACTGTACTTGAAAAGTCTCCAAAATATTAAAGTCATATATTTAAAGTGCATACTATAAAATAGCTTTTTTTCTGATAAATAAGCAACATATAACAATATCGCTTAAACTCAGATCATTGTTTCCCCACATTCTTGCCAGAACTTATAAATAAATAAGTAAACACTAGAGAAAAAAAAATTTGAGTCATCACATTTTAGAATTGGGACTCTGTGTTGTTTAACAGCCCCCATCAAATGCGGTAAAACGGAGACTAGCGAGGAGAAGCCACCGAGCTCCTCAGTCACGGGATCGGGACAGTGCTGTTGATTCTCGGCCCCCTGAGCTCTCTGCTGTGACCAGCTACTTGTAATAAAAGGCATAAACTTAATACAGTACCCAAGGTCGTGACAGTCTGGTTGGCCTCACAGTTTCTCTCCAGAAGTAGCCATCTCTGACGCCATAGTTTGCCAAGGCCTTAACGGCCCCATACTGTCAATCCCATTTCTAAGTGGCGCCCTCTGGAGTTGGCCAGTGCAGCAGTTCTGCAAATGGCTGTTAAACGGAAAACTTTTTTACCTTTCTCTTCAGTCTAATGAAGAAGGAAGGGTATTTTCTAGATGGCTTTGCCTGAGTCAGCCCACCTACATTACTGTGTCCTTGGTTAGGAGGATGTAGTAGCCTGTGACACTAAGGCCATGTCCATAGAATGGACAGCAGCAAACGTAATTCCTCTGTCCCACAGCAACGGTGAGCTTCCCAGGAGCTGTTTTGATGAAGGCTTTCGGTTGCTTTCTCATGAACATGCCCTCCTGTTCAACCCAGGTTGTGAGCTACTAGAGAGCACCGACTACGTCATGGTCCTCTTTTAATTATCCCACTGTCTCGCTTACATTGGGTCCTCCCTAAAACGTCTCCGTCGCATGAGTTATATGTCTGGCCTCGCATATCCATGGACAGCTTGGCGAGCCTGGCCAAAGCCTCTGGTCCTGAGTCACTGGCTGGCTGGTCATCAGAGCTGGGCCAGCGAGGGAAGCAGGGCACTGAGGTGGCGGCCTGAGGAGACAGCGGCACCTGAGACATCCCACCACCCGACTCCATCTGTGGGCTCAGGAAGGCTGCTGCTGTGGGCTGCTATTTTTGGCTTCATTTCCACATTTTTCAATTTAAGAATTCTGAAAAGTAAAAATTTGACAAGTGAGAGGGATATGGAGTATTTAACACAGTGTCCTCTTTTTTAAAAATCTGGTGTGAACATTTTACATATGTTGTTTAATAAAAACTAGATGATGGAGTGGAGGGAAAGGCTGCGCGAGATTATTTTTAGTCTTCATCTGATGTAGAAGTAGGCTGCTGTGTGAGTTAGTCAGAAAGAAGAGTCCTCACTAATTTATTTACCTGGTTCTCGTGTAAGAAAGAGGAAGCTGGAAACATACAATAAAAGGTGTCCAGCATACAATAAAAGGTGTAAATAAATAGTTTGCCCGATATAGCTAAGTATGTATTATGTGTCATCTGACCTGCTTGCAGAGCTGAATTAATGCGTGGGCATATGTTCACCAGGACAGCACAGAACATAGAGTGAATGTGGTTAGCGATTCAGTCTTGGTCCTTGTCTGTTCCTTTCACCTAAAGGATAAACTTGTCTTTGGCTATGAAAAGTTGATAGGTTGGCTTTATAAGGATCCCTTTATTGGACACATGAGACAACAGCACAGATCTTAATCTGGCTAGCATTTGTGCTCTTTTCTTCTCTGGTGTTAAAAAGCAGGAGAGTTAAGATAAGAATTCATTAGTCTTCTACCTAGAGGTTAGAAGCTATGTGAGAATTGTCTGCGTTGAAGCCTGGGATGATGAAGGAGGGCTGGATCATGCTAAAGCATTCCATTTGTGTAATTTAGAGCTCTTGTTCCTTTTGTAATCTTCACATGCTTGGGGCAACCTAATTTCAATGATGCAACTCTTTCTGAAGCCTCTTCCAAATGTATTCTGGAGTATAGAGTATGGGAATCACAACTTTATCATGTGGTAGTTAGATTTCTAAAAAATTGAATTTAACTCCTCTTCTTGGATAATCAAACGACTTCTACTTATTTAACTCGTATAGTTTAAGCCCTTTGACACCCTTAGCAGCCCAGCAGTTCAGGACGAAGTAGATGTGGGCGGTCTCCTCCGCGCAGGTCACGGAACTGAGGCTCGGGAGTGTGTGAGCCCACAGATGCACTCCCTTCTCAGCGGCTGACTTGGGACTTGGGCTCAAGCTTTGATTCTCACCTGCTGTCACTCCCCGCCACAGGGAAATGCTATTTAAGATTACAGCAGAGCTCTTTATTAAGGACACAGTAATTTCATATTTTAAAATACAATCTTTATGAATTCAGGTTTTGAGAATTTTTTAAGTAGTACATACCTTTACTTGTTTTTTGATTTCTTTCAATGTTATTGCCACTCAACAGTGACTTCAAGTATGTTGAGTTACTTTCACTGATTATATGTTTTCTGCTGTCTTTTGAATGGTTTCCCCCAGCTCTTCTTCAACCCTGATCCATTTCTGTCTTCATGGTCTAGTTCCCCCCCAAGTGATGTCCAGTAAATAGTGTCTAAAGCAGAGCGCTTGTTCCCGGAATCATGCCATATGTACTTGATTGGGCTTTCGTGCTCTATAAACTTTATTTTTTATCACACACATTGTGAACCAAAATGTGTTAGGTATTATCGATCAAGTGCTAGGACCAATGCCAGCAAGCTTGCCAGCATTAAACATTTGTGAAGGAAGGAAGGGAGAGAGAAAAATCTCCAGAAACAAAGTTAACAGATTAATGACAGGCGGGTGGAAATGTTTTTACGTATATCATGGACAAAAAGGCTAATCTCTTTAATAGATAAAGCGCTCCTAGAAATTAAGACACTAAATTCTTTTTAAAAAGATGAAAAATTTAAAAGTGGAGTAAGTATATGAAAAAGACATTTCACAGGAAATACAAATGGCCCTTAAACACAAAAAGATGCTTAAAATGCATTATAATAGAACAAATTCACATTAAAATCACCTGCCTGAGTGGTGTGAACCCAGACACACCGGTGCGTCTGTGGGAAAGCAGGCTTTCTCACACTCTGAGAGTAAGTGTGAGTTGGAACCATCTTCGTGGGGGACTGCACAACTTGGTAACGGCTGTGAAGTTACAGATGCTTTACCCTCTGGCCTGGTGTGTTAATAATAAAGCATCACAAACTGAGTGGCTTCATTAAACAGAAAATTACCATCTCACAGTCCTGGAAGCCAAAGTCTGAAATCAGGATGTTAGCAGGGTAAATTGAATGAATTGGCCTGGCTTCTGCCACTGGTCATGCGCCACAGGTTCAAAAAAAGATAGCATGTTTTGCCCTGAATGGTGTAGTCAGTGGGTTGGGCATTGTCCCACAAACCGAAAGGTCACTGGTTTGATTCCCACTCAGGGCACATGCCTGGGTTGCGGGCCAGGCCCCCAGTTGGGGGATGTAAGAGGCAACTGCTCAGTTTTCCTCACACATCACACATCAGTGTTTTCCCTCTCTTTCCCCTTCCCTTCCCCTCTCTGTAAAATAAATAACAATTTTTTAAAAAAAGCAAAATACCAAATCTCAAAAAAAGAAAAAAAAATACCATATTTGAATTTGCGTATGTGGACAACAGTGTGGAAGCTAAGCTTGACATATTCTTTTTATTTTTTATTTTATTGATTATGCTGTTACAGTTGTTCTATTCCCCCTTTCATTCCCCTCCACCCTACCCCCCCATCCCCACCATTAACCCCCCTTTAGTTTATAACCAAGTGTCTCAAGTCCTTTAGATTCTATATTTCCCATGCTATTCTTGCCCCCCCCACCTATTTTCTGTCTACTGTCTATGCTACTTATTTTTTGTACCTTCT